TCTTCAAAGCGTGGAAGGGTACACTGATATGCAATTTACTGCGCCAAACGCTTCAATAACACATACAGGCGGGCGAAAATCTGTATAGTAATCACATTATCAACAGCTTCCTGAAAACCCACCGTTTTTTACGTACCTTCTACTGACGAGGAAAAGAACAGCTGATTAGAGTCGCATACGGTTGATGATTGCACCACCCCACATCGGAAATCGATGGAAAGAGACGGGGTTAGATTGCATGTGACCGCTTGGCATTCCTCCCTGCTATTCATTCTAGGTTTCTTGGCATTTAGAAGTTTGCTCATTGAGATGTATAGCTTTTCGAAATTCGCTATAAACCAATGTTTATAATCACAATTTTAGCTTATTATTTACTACCTACTCTTTTTAACGGCAGGGTATATATTGCGAAATATAACTTCAATGATGCTGAGATATTTTCAAAACTTCGGACTGCAGGTGTCCGCGGTGGGGAACGAACGCACTACTGTCCTTTCCGGGGAGTAACGCGTTCACCACCACACCATGCGGATCCTTCGTTTCACTTGTCTCTCAGCTAGTTCTGTCGATCACTGCCATCAGCAATCACCCGTCATTAAAGTTATATTTCACAATGTTTATAGTTCGGTTCTCAAGTCTCCACACCATTTTTCGTTTTTGCTTCCAGCTACATCGATTTTCACATTACTTTTCAGCCAACGAGGTCGGTCGGTCGTCTTTCAACTATGCATTGGTACGGTCAGCGTTTGAACAGGCATTACAGGTAAAACTTTTAGTTTCTGTCTTGGAAGACAGGACATACGATTCCTTTCTATCTTAGTTTTCAAGCTCCCCAAGCCTTCCAACTGCTTATTCGGATATTCTTCTCTTCATTTTTCTTGACTTTGTTGTGTTTTGTACACTGGGGATCCTAATGTTTTCACAGGAATTTTTACGTAATGCTATCATTTTATCTTTCAGTGGTTACTCTGCAAGTGTGTTGCTAAAAATATTGCAGTTAATTGAAAATTTTTCAATTTACGACTGACAATGATTTATTTTCAACCCGTTCCTATCCTATTGACACTTTCTTGTTCATGTATTGGAGCGGTCTGTACAATGCGTTGAAGTCCTGAGCTCGTATATATGTGTGGCTCATAGTGAAAGTCTCGTTGGAGGCGCCACCGCCACACGTGGAATTGATCTTGGCACCCATGACCCATCAAGCCTTCCAACCCTCCGGGGTTGGAAAATTGCTGCCAGACTTACCTAGGAGGATAACAGCACTGGCTCGATACATTGGTAGGTCATCGCGAGTCATTGTAAAGGTCAGATATGCATTCAGGGCGTATCCCTCATGGATTGATCAACGCCGAGAGCTTTTATCCGTTTTAGTGAAAGTCTCATCCAAATGATCTAATTGGCGTAAACAGTGGCTACTTCCTTTCTTCTAGTCAAGATTCATGAGTTTTATTAAGGGTCATCAGCGAATGGAAATGGGAACGTGGCGATGTCACTAGTGTTGTACTTCGATTTCTTGTCCTATTTGCGCTGAAAACTCGATTCTTAATTATGTATCGAAAAATTCCATAGTTTATTTCAGAATGTTGTCAAAAAACTCCTTTTTATAGACTTTCATAATTGCTATTTCATAGTTATTAATAAAGCTCATCTTCTATATGTGATTTTTCCGATACATATTAGGGTTTTATAACGAAATTCATCGCCTTTCCAACGGAACTCTTTTCAGATCCTCAAAGGTGTGTTCATTCGCGACCGTCGATTCGGAGTCGAATGGCGACGTTTCTATAAAGGAACGATGATGTCACTAATAATGCCGTTCACGCAGGAGCAACTACAGTATAGAAACTGGTTAAAAGTGGGTAGTTTTTTTCACTCATAATTCGCTAGGCATACGGATTTTCAAAAGTATAAATCCTTCCTTAGAGCTTCGTACTCGAGTACAAGGAACCCGAACAGCCACCATCAACAGTGGTATGTAACACGCTGCTTGCACCTGTGAGTTATAAGTGGTCTTTCGTAAAGCATTAACACTGAAAAAGAGATATGTCAATTTTGTATGATGGCATTGCAGTCGATCGATCTGGCGAAGTGTGCTCTTCAGCGGTATATCATGTCACTTCCACGAAATCCAAAACCACTAGAAATTGTGGATCCACGTGACTTGGAGCGAGTGTCATCGACGGCATTGACGTGTAATGAGAACGAGAACAGCTCCGAAATGACGTGTACGTCGTCGTCATGTTCAGATGATGTCGATCCTGTCATTACTGCGCCCATCGATAGAATTTCGACGACACCATCCGAGAAAAGCGAGGGTGATTCGTCTGAGGTAGGTCTTCAGTGCTGTTTGAAAATGTATGTCCTGTTGATGGTCTCTGGGTAGGTTTTTGAGTAGCAAAAAAAGCAAAAATTACGAACTGAAGATCGTTTCAAAGTGGGAACATTATGAAATAGAAACAACATAAGTTATACGAGAAGTGTTTCACTAAGTTGAATGAACCAATATGTTTGCACTCAAGTTGCATTCGTTTTTGTCGTCTTAGTCTGTATATTGAGAAGGAAGTGCTAGAAGGTTAAATGCATCTGTATGTAAGGATAACTGTCACACTCTCGTAGAAGTTTTGGGCTTTCTATTTTCAAGTGCCGGTGATTTGGAAAGTAATGGCCAATTTCGCCTTAAAATATGTGCATTCATTTGTCATCCTTTTCGACCCATCCAGTTTTTGATGCTGATAAGCCATTGGATTTGGAGTACCTGTTTTACAAATTCTCTTTACAATGGTTTGCCACAGATGGCCGCATCGTTAATTCTTCCAGCGTTTACGGAACTTATGCTACAACGATATTAAGGTTACATAGTGAACTTGACAAAGATGACGCCTCCGATTTGTTTTCAATTTTCGTTTTCACATTGTGCACAATACATATGCACATTCCATTGTTTAGTATTTTAGGCCGAGCAAAGTTGTCATGCTTTGCATGCAGATGGGAAACATGAAGACCCTATGATCCACACAATCAAGGAGACATACAGAACACAAGAGAAAACGGCTACCCTGGCCGCTATCGTTGCTGGTGCAAATCGTTCAAAATCACAAAACCTCACTGACGATCTGGACAAGAGTAATGGTAACAGCACCTCGTCGATGAAAGATCATCCACCGTCGCCATGCGAAAATAAAACACCAATCCCAGCAACCATAAAAGCCACAGCTGCAGGTCCAACGGTGAATGGCCGCGTTTTTCATAACCAGCATTATTATAAAACGGAACGCATGACATCTGGGTCGCGTGACATCGCAAACGGAGTTGGGAAAAGACCTCTTGGATCCGGTGGCAATAGCGTACGACGCAAACCGATCGGATACGCAGTGGCTATACAGCAGCAGCAATCGAACGCAAACTATTCAGCTAATAGTCCTTCGTCAAGAACTGGTGCATCGTCGCGGAAAAACTACCAGGGTGTCTATTACAAACGGAACGGTGAGAAGAACGGAGCTGTACGGCGCGACACCACACCGCGACTGCCCTCGGACGACGGCGGTGAGTCGAGTGAGCGGGATTCAGTGAAGAACGATGGCTATCAGGTAGTACGCCCTAGAAACCGACCTCGCCACAAATGATAGAGAGAAGTGCTGGACCAGTTTTCTCGTAGTGTGTTCTTCCTTCATATTGAAATAATGCTCCTATTATTTCACCTCCGTAGTCATATGTCGTTGTAGACCATTTCAGCGAGTAGTTTATGATTCTTAGTTGTTAGTTTTACGAATTGTTTTCATTAGATGGTTTCGATTCCGTTGATGCACACGTAACACCACGTTCTAGTTCGATTTTTTCTTGTGATCATGTGCCTTTTTCTTTCCTTCCTTCCTTTGATGTTATTACTCCGCGTCAGCTTGATCGTTCTCATTAGCGCGTTACGGTAGCTTGTGTTCGGTGCAATGTCGTGTCGACTTGCAAACGTGGCCACGACGACGGCTTTTCCGACGTCGCGGACGCAATTGCGGCGTTCGAAATTTTTCACGCGCACAGTCACATTCCTTCAGCTATTGTTGCTTAGTGATTGGGTCTTGTTAGGTTGATATATCAAGATTGGAAGTGTTTTGTGCTAGGATGTGCACTAGCATGTGACATATGTATGTATTATTCTTATAATAACTGTTTGTACATAGATTTAGCATTTTTATAGTCCATTTCTCACCACTTGCCCAACTGCCGCTGGCAGCTTGGTTTTCTCGAAATCCACGACATTTTTATTACCGGTTATCGCTTTCGCTATCGAATCATTTGTACCCGAGACTTTATACATTGTTGAAGAATTGTGCTATTGATCTAACCCGAATGCCTTTTTTTTCTTTACCACAAGTAATATTGTTATTATCGCTGTATTCCACATTTCTATATGTCTTTTCACTGGGGTATATCGTTTTTCGTCATGCATAGGAGTCCCGGAATCATGCAATATGACGCATGGCGCAGTGGTATAGGAAGAACTCGTCAAAGTGCTGATAACATACTAATCTTACGAAAACATGATCCCAGCATTTCTACGAGTTCTTTGTAGAACCAAGGGCGCTTTTCAGTGATATGGGTACGAAGTATGTTAGATATAGGTGTTGCTAGATCGATTAGCCCATTCATTCACCTCTTCTATAGTCGGTTATTATTGATTATAATTGATATGCAATTGTTTGTTGAACCAATGACGATGATGAAGTGTTGATCGGTGAGAGGTGTTTCACTCGATTCGTTCCTTCATCCATTCGTTTGCACCAATCGGTGACAATTCTACGGCTGCTACCAACATGAAACCTGTTACTATGTCTGATGTACGAATTAGTTTCTGTTCATTCAATATGTGGTGATAGTAAACGTTGTTGTTGGTGCTTCGTTGTGTCCTTTTCCTCTGAGTCGGTTTAAACCCGTTAAAGTATTTGTGACGTGATATAGTTGTTGTTTCGAATCATTTAAATCGTCGTCTGATGGATTTATGTCAGATGTCGGTGGACACCCATGACCTCAGCCTTCCTAGCGAATCGTCATCATCGTCATCAAATTGCGTACCGGTCCATGCCGGTCATTCATCGCAGACAGAGATAAAAGTTGAGGTAGAGTGGGGTTTTTGAATTTCTACCAGTTGTCTAGATCAGCTAACAACTCTGATTACTACTACTACTTTAACGTGCTTCATAAGCTAAGGTATGATGGAATAGCGTCATGTCGTTAGTGTATTCAGAATTCTAAAATGCCTAGCTTTTTTGATATGTGGCATAAAGATTGTTTCCTACAACTTTTAGAAAACATACTAGGAAGTACAACTACAATGAATTCTGGGTTATTTACAAAATTCCGGGCCACAGGTGTCGAGATCGAACCTCGAAATGAAAAGTGGTTACATTGTAATTTATACTATAGCTTCAGCCTAACTGGGTTCAATGGCGATTTGTGCTCGCCAGATCAATCCCGTTGACGAGTGGTTGCTGATAGCACTTTGGGCATGCAAGGTGTGATGGTGAAAGCTTTAGTCCCCGGAAACGGTAATAACGCGGTTCGATCCCCCCGCAGACAGCTGCGGTTCGGAGTTTTGCGAATATCTCAGCACCCACAACGAATCCCGCTGACGGGTGATTGCTGATGGCAGCGTTAGATAGATAACTAGCTGATAGAAAGGCATAGCAAAGGGTTCACTGGTGTAGTGTGTAAGTCGCGAGTCCGGAAATGGTAATAGTGATACTATCCGGCCCGAGGTCCATGTTTTTCGAATATTTCGGCATCATTGTGGTTATCTTTTATTTCATACACTGCTATGAAGAAAAATTAGGCAGTAAATAAGAAGTGGTTACATTACTAGGAAGTTTTCGAAATGACTTTTGAATGTTTCAAATTGCATTCTTTGCTCGCGTCAATGTGAAACTGTTTTTGTTTTCATATTGGATTTTAAGCTTAAATGTTTGTGGTTTTTGTCTTAAATTTTAGTTCCGCTTTTTGTTGTGTTTCAGAAGGTGAATCACAGCTGGACGGTTAAGAACTTTTCTCACTGCTATCAGGAATATTTGGAGAACTTTGTGTATCTGTCGAGAGGCGATGAGACCTTAACATGGTCAATCAAAATATACCCGAAGGGAAACGGCGAGAACAATAAAGACTTTGTGTTCTTGTGCCTCAATCGAGTGGTAAATTTCACTTTGTTTTGTTGTTCAAGTAAGGCCGTATTATCTTGTTTGGTTAAAGCATACCAATTCATGACAAAGAATTCTCAACAGGCATAATTATTGTCGTCATTTCTTTCATTGTACTATTCTACTGTGCTGGGTGAAGCCTGCTGTTTAGGTCAACAGCAATGCGAAGTCGACGAAAATAGGTTTTAAGTCTCGATTTATGCTCCGGACAGCAGAATTTAAGGAGATCGACGTGAGTACATCTATTTGCTTTGATGTTTAAGTGGTAGATTGTTGTTTTTATTCCAGATGCGTATTCATCCAAATCCATCACATTCGGATTATGTGTCATACATCAAAAGAGATATTTTGTTTCCACAAATACTACCTAAAGATTTGATAATAGTGAATGTTGAAATTGACGTAGCTGTTGAAACGATCACAACTACGACGGAGCCGATAATGGTAAGTGGACGTCGTCTTTCTTTTTCAATGTGAACATGATTTAAATCTACGAGTTTGGGCTGCTCTATATGAAAGATATGAGACTGATGGAATTTGCTGAATAGACACTTATTAACGGTGTTTAAGGAATCTTTAGGAAAATCATTGACGCTGAAATATTTACTGTTTGGAAATGGTTTAGAAAACGTAAATGGCTTGTAGATTCTCAAACTGGTGTTTTATTCATGTTCACAGCTCTTATTAGGATAATTGACGTGATTAATAATAACTAATATTATGCATTCATAATGGTTATCGTACTCAGAACATCGCGAAAAGTTTTCGACTTTCGTTGTTCTCAGTTCCGAGATTTTTGTTGTTTCTAACGCTATAATAGTTGAACACACTTGAGACCACATGTGGCTGGTGACAAGTTCTTTTTTCAACTTTATACCGTGTAATCGCTAGTAAATACATTAACTGTGCGATGGTGTGTAGCAAATATGTGTACAATATAGACGTAGGAAAGGTATAATTAGTTATGCTAACGCGTGAGACACATTGAGTCCACTTCTGAGTAAGGATAAGTGCATAGTTGTTTTGATCGGCGTCCAACACCGTAATTCGGTGTTTGGGGAACTATTGTGTAGTTTCCATGTTAGGCACCCTCTTGTAGAACGCTTGACCTGCTAAAATTTATTGGTCAAGTATAACTGCTTAGTACGCTACTCTTTGTAGACATCAAATTGCGAACAACAACTAGTCGAAGACTATCAACGTCTGTTCCGTGATGACTTGCTGACGGATTTCACGATTCGAGTTGGTGGCAGGGAAATTCGAGCACATCGTGCAATACTTGCTGCTCGGTGAGATTTTTCAAACACATAACAGCGAGCTACAGATTATTTTGCTGATAGTTTTTATGTCTTTTTGGTACTGAAAATGTTAGTGGATTATAGCCTGTTTATTTTACCATATTTAGATTCAGTTGTGATTCGCAGTAGTTTGGTTTCGAACATCTTGATCATTAGAGCTTTACGGAAATGTCGAGATACATAAAATCTTGTATGAAACAGAGTTTAATCATGTGTTTTATTTATTCAAAGCCGACCACCTGTCCATAGATGCATGGTTGTGTACTCGGAAAAGATGTGGTCCAGAGCATGTTTAATTAGAAGGCTTTTTAAGTTTATTTTGTAGAGTTACCGAGAAATAAAAAATAGATAGATAAATGGAGTTTTCACATGTAATGTGCTTTTCAAGCAACAATTATCCATTGACGGAGAAATGAGATAATGAGGGTGAGTGATTTTGTTTTACGTCTTATTTAATAAATGAGATTTTCTCAGGTCACCGGTATTTCAAGCGATGCTTATGCATGAATTAACAAATGAGACAAAAAGTGTGGGTCATTTTTTTAGTATTCTTTTATTAGCTAGTGGTTTTCTATTCTCTAGTGGAATTTCCTGTTCATTAAGGGAGTTTTGGAAATCTGCGATTTGGACTATGAGGTGGTGTACGAATTGATCTATTATATTTATTGTGGTCGTTGCCAGAAAGAGATCGGCGATATTGCTACTGATTTACTTATTGCTGCTGACAAGTATCGACTTGTTGAGTTGAAAGTTAGTGGATCAGTTTTCTGTTCTTCACATCTCAAATCCTTCATTGAAATTGTACAAGTCAACTTTCTCCTACTATACTAACTTTTTTAAGGTATTATATATCACTACAACCTGTAAAATTGTTAGTGTTATCTGTGAGTTTAAACATTGTTAGGTTGTGAGTTGTTAATTCAGTATAAAGCGTCCCTCATTATATCATGATGTTAAATTTAAGTATCTGATTGAGAAATAACTATGAATTTAATCAGTCGTCATTGCTTTTAATTTCTCAAATTTCAATGACATTTTTATGATTACTAAGTCATCAGACGTCACTCGCTCATACATAGTAAATATACAGTCCTGTTCTCCTAGTTCCACGTTTTATTTACCAATCCATCAATCGATTACTTCTCGAAAATGATTTGTTCATATGTATTATTTGCTATTTCCAGAATCACTGTGAGAAATTTCTCGTTGAAAATTTGGCGAACGAGAACGTCTGCCAGCTATTGATATTGGGCGATTTATATAATGCAGAACGTTTGCAAGAAAGAGCTGTGCAGGTATTTTAACTGTACCTTTTTTTAAAATTCTTGTTAGGAAGGAACTCATCTGTAGGTTTAATTACTATGTTTTTGAGTTGCTCGGAAAATTCTACGAAACTATTGGTAAAATTTTGTTTATCTATGAATCTATGAATTGAATCAACAACAATATGACCAACATTATTTTCCGTATCGCTCTTCGAAATTAAATTCTGGCTTCCCTAATTTGCCTATTCTGTGATAGCTCTGTACCCTTTTCGACTAGAAGCCTTGGAATTATAGCTTTGCAATGACAAACAGCGATGCTGGGATATTTACAAAACTCCGGACCGCAGGTGTCTGCGGCGGGAATGAACGCGCTATTATCCTTTCCGAGAGTAACACGTTCACCACCACATCATGCGGGTCCTTCGTTTCGCCTGTCTCTCAGCTAGTTTTATTGATCACTGCCGTCAGCAATCACCCGCAATCTTATCCGTTGTATTTACTGCAAATATCTCAGCATCATTAAAGTTATTATTTCGCAATATACCTTGCCATCAAAAAGGAGTAGGCAGTAAATAAAACGGTTAAGGCCATGGAATTAGCTGAAAGAAACTCATAAGATTTCGGAACCCTATCAACAACATAGTGAACGAGTGGTGATATTTGTTTGTATGTGGCACCTTCTCGTCATCACAAATGAAATGTTCCGGTCCAAATCGGCTGAATTCTTAAACTGCCGAGGTTGCCTAGGTTGCAAATTATCGTTGATTACATGGATCGATGTTTCCTAGCGAAACCGCGTGAAATAGCATCGAGTGAGTTGTGGTTTGAGAGTATTGCACAGTGATCGTCGTGAAAAACTGAACCACACGTATCTCACCATTTACCATTTGCATAATCTCATAGATCCATCCTAACCTTAATTTCCTAATAAAATTTTCGAACCTAGATAGATTTTGTTGACCCACACTGAGGTGTTAAGCAACATTGTGGTGTTTTGTAATACTAGTGTATCGCTATTTTTTTTATACTATTCGTTACACACTTTCTAAAACGTGCTTGCACTTTTTAATAGTCGTGCTTTCCAACTAGTTCAAATAAAAGGGAAGGAACTAAAATTGAGAGTTTCTTCTAGTTGTTAGACTACTAAAACAGCTATTGGCAATGCAAAGCTACATAAGTTGACCAGTGTCAGCATTGATTTGAACCATTAAAATATATTCAACTACAGCCTCAGCTTAACTGGGTTCAATGCCGATGTGTGCTGTCCAGATCAGTCCCGTTGACGGGTGATTGCTGATGGCACTGATCGATAGAACTAGCTGGGAGACAGGCGAAATGAGGGACCCGAATGGTGTGGTAATGAACGCGTAGGCCCCAAGAAAGGGTAATAGCGCGTTCGTTCCACACCGCAAACACCTGTGGTCCGGAGTTTTGAAAGTATCTCAGCAACGTTGTGGTTGTATTTCGATTATTACCTTACCGTTAAAATTGTAGTAAGCAGAAAGTGGAAGGTAAAAACATATTAAGACACTCTTTTTGCCCTGTTAGTTGAAAGATATATTTAAATTAGTGCCAGTGTACCTGTATGTTTTCAGATGTTTAGTTATCACCTGATTTCTATTTCTCGCATTGTTTCTGTCTCCGAACTCGAAAAGATACTAGTCTTTAAGACTAATGCAAACTTCAAATGTGATAATGCATTTTATTTATGCTATGATGTTTATCTAATTGTATTTCGTCTGCCCGCGATTCTCCCTCCACCCTTTATTGATTGTATGAGATGTTGTTTAGCTTTTTAGTTCATACTTCAACGTCCAAAGTACATCACTTCAACACCAGGGTGGGATGATATTTTGAAGCAGCACCCGCATCTTGTTACTCGTATTGTGAACCATTTTGATAAGGTCAGTATACGTCAATCCTAGTTGAAGTTTTTTTTCTTTCGCGAAAACCTATGTGGAGACCCCGTATACAAAATCGCTGAAACCTGCATGTTGAAGGTTTAAAGTGCACTTTCTAGTACTTATTCAAAACTTCTGAGCACAGTTTTTACCTGGTAGGTCGTTTTATGTGTATCAATCCATACATACATTTTTTCAGGCTCCTACATCGGGTAGTGCGACTTTGGATCCGTTGGCGATTCCTCCACCATCGTTGTAAATGCAATTTCTATGTCTAATCGACCAGATTTCAGTGTACTGTTCCTGTCATGGTTTGTGTTCTTCACCTTTACTTTCTTCCTTGCTCCATGGTCATCGTTCTGCTATGCTTTTTAGTATATCAAAAACTGTGTGCTGAAAATGTACTGATTCTTATCTGATCGCGGAAGTCTTTTTGCTCACCGCTATAGAAATTCACCAATGCTGTTGCTGTCGAGACGAGTCAACGACAGAAACACTCGCTTCTGTGTTAAGTCTATCGCTATATGGGTATAGGTATCTGCACTATTCTGTATTCTGCTGCAGTTACTAGCATGTGCTATTGCTATGTAGTTATGTTGGGTCATTTATTTACAGTTTCTCTTTCTACATCAATAATGTACCTAGTTCTATATTTTATTGCCGGTATCGGAAGTTTTATGTTTTAAGTCCTAAATAAATTTGTAAGAAACGTGGTAGCCACAGAAGCGTTCTTTAGGGGATACAGTTCTATCTAGCCATTGATCATGACATGTTTACTATGTTAATATTATTTTTATGTTAATAATTGAACTGACAGATTTTTGTGGTTCATATTGTTTGGGAAATGGGTTCAAATAGAAGACATTACGGTCTCGACAGCGTACTTGAGGATCCGTTCATGCAATACTTTCAACCGTCTGATTAAATTTGGAAATAATTTCTTCCGTGTTCTCGAATGTATTTTCTAAATCTGCTAAATCCTAGTCATTAAAACTTTTTAAACCTATTAACTGACTATATTATCCAATTGTCGAATCGTTCGAATTATCCTCAACGTGAAGTTGTAATTTTCTCCTTGTGAAAGAAGAATCGCAGGGGTAAAGATGTGTTTGTGTGTTTGAAATTGTTGGGCTTACACGAAGTTGATAAACAACTTTTATTTGGATAACGTCTCAATGTCTTCATATTCAACAGAGCCGATGAGAGGAGTCGATAGTCCACAGTTTGTTCTTCCCGATTTTGGGGCCTTCATCGTCATACTGAGACGAATCTTCTCGTCAGTGGAACACCGCACAAATGAGGCATGCTGATCTGGCAGTGTTTTTTATACAGGGCTGATGTTGTTGATATGACTATCCGTTGATAATAAATTGTTTTTCAACGGGGAGTCCACTCTGTGGCAGTCTGTATTATGTTAGCTAGCACAAAAAGAATAGCAAAACAATTTTAACAGTTAGCCAACGAAGACGCCACGTCGAGAACAACTGCGGACCATCTACTTGGGTCATCGGCTCTGATGAGAACGAAGACGTCGAAACGTTGATCATCAGCCTCGTGAAAGCTCAACAATTTAAAACATGGTGATTGTTTTACTACTGAGGTTAAATGACGGTCGGTTTGGAAATTGTATTTGTATGTTTTCATTATAATATTGCAATGAGTGCCCTTTTGCACATTTTGCTTATTTTCTTTCTCACTACACAGTACGCTTAATCGAATCTATGTTGAATTGGTTGGTTAACGGTGTTTATTGTGAATATTCATACGTTTTAATACACATTTATGTAGGGAATAAATTACTTCACTTCAAGCTTATGCTGTTTCTTCGTGCAATTTTAACCTGCACTCTGTCGACGAAGATCTCCAAGTTTACTTCTAGGTTTGGCTGTTAATTTCGAGGATTTTTGGTCTCTGTGAATATCGCTGGGTCATAGTTCCCAGGATCGACTTTCTCTTAACCTCGGCATTGGACTATGAATGTGTCGTTTTCTTGTTCAGCAATCGCGAGGTTTTTAAACAGCATACATTTACTTCCATAAAAACACAATACAATACAACGCTAGCTGACGTTTCGGCAGTATCGCCTTTTTCAGAGCCTGGAAGGGTATACTGATATACAATCTACTAGGCCAAACGCTTCAATAACACACAAAGAAGAAAGACTCTTTGGTAATTACACGATCAACAACTTCTCGAAAAACACCGCTTTTTCGTGACTTCCAATGAGGAAGTTTAGAACAGCTGATTATAGTCGCATGTGGTTGACGACTGCACCATCGCACATCAAAAATCGATGCGAACGTACGGGATCAGGTCGCGTATGACCTCGGGGCATTCGTCCCTGCTATTCATTGTAGGGTTTTTGGCATTGATCCAAAAAGCCTCTAGGAGTTTTCGCGCTGGTGCTTTGGACTCCTGTGCAAGGATATTGACTTTTACTTCAAAATCATCTCCGCTATGCTTTTGTATCCTATGCGTGCCTAGTGGGGTGCTTCGTCTTAGTTTTTCGTTTGCCATCTAGGTGTTCTTTTATACGAATACACAAAGGTCGGCCCGTTTCGCCAATATATTCATCTCCGCAATTATTACAAGAGATCAGGTATATCGTACCTGAACTCATGCAATCACCGTCCCTGCCGTAAGGGCAAATTACGCAATTTGTTGCTTCACACAGACGGTCATACAGGCGGTTGCGAACTAATTGGCGACGTAGAGTAGCCGGTGGTATTTCAACTATCGCTACCGATTCCTCTAGACATGCCCTTCTTAAGCATCGTTTTATAGCTGCGCTTACTTCATCGCTTATAAAAGGCAACATAAACGGGATTTTGTTTTGGCCAAGTGTTTCTCGTGGGTCAGTTCTTCCTGGAAACCTGAGGTAGCAAAAATATTGCGCTATATGGTTAAGCGCGAGGTCGGGGTAAACTTTAGCGCGTTCCATTTATTGGTACTACTTGCGGTAAATGTCTATTGTGGGGTAGAGCAGAGTGGTTAGTGATGGGGTCTACAAGGAAGGAAGGTGCTGGGTCGATCTCCTCAACGCTGCCCTCTAGTCCGTGTGAGAACGCCTTAGCTATCTCCAAGAATGCGAATAGAATCGACTCGATTATCATTCTAAGACACTCATAAGGAAGAAGAAATCTTCAAGCAACAGTCGAAACAGGGAATGCTTGAAGACCTTTGTGGATGATGAAGCGAGGAAAATGAATCGAGTTCAAAAAGTGCTGGGATCCGCACAGTAGATGTGATGAAAGGTCATGTAAATAAGTAAATGTCTATTTGGTGTAAATATAACATTTCAGAATTAAAACAATTCGAAAAGGTGTTGAGAGAAGCAGCGAAGAAGAAAACATAAGTTCCTGTGGATTGCGGTAGTATACTGGGACTCGTCAGATCTGTGTAGTCTCGCTAACTGCACATCTATGCACATTCATGCCAGGATTATCCAGTCAGACAATGCATGACAACCTTAATGTAGTGACAGTGTATCCGGCTCACGCAAGCATTCGTTTTCATTAATCATTGTAGAGACGGTTGAACACATATTTACCACACACAGTGACTTGCGACCGCCTAGCGATATAAGAAGTCTATATTTCTGTCCTCTCAGACAATTACCAGTTTATTAAGTTTAGAGTGATGGATCTCTTGGTTTGTCCGAATCGTCGGATCAAGCCAGGGACCACGTACTTGTTGCAAAGTACTTCTTACTATTGAGCTACATACGGTTCTGATAACAGCAAAGTGTGCTTTCAGAAGGAATTCTGCCAGCGTATATTAGCGTTACCAAACGAATCAATAATGATAATCGAAGCCGGATAACCAGAGCCAGTTTGGTATCTCTGAATTACCTCATATGCTAGACTCTCACGAAAAGCACCGTCGTGGTTGTTCAGATTTGCTGTAGCATCCAGCAATTCTCACCAAACCAGCGCGATGAGGCGAGTACACATGAATGCAATACGCGTCATCGAACCAATGACCATCGTTCGGCAACGGCGATCACAACCATTGAGCCATCAATGCTTCAGGGAGCATGCTGTGCCGTCATGTGACTAGACAACTGCTCAAATGAAAAAGCGGTTTGATGGAAATTACTTCACGAGGGGAATAACCAAATAATTTAATTTTGCTCAATTAACTAGATAAGCTTCTACATAGCTTAGCAAATCTTATGTCGGCAGTAGACTGACAAGAATTTAGCAATGGAGTGTTTTTCGCGAACCATAGTCTTCATGTTCATGTTCAATTCTGAATGAGGCTCTTTTGTATACTACTTAAGTTGGCAACGAAAAAGTAGTGGTAATAAATCAGATCGAAAATCGGGTTTGTTCGCTAAATCACTTTTATTCGACAGTTTCTACAGGCAAGAAGATAACCGTCAGCGAAACACTAAAACACTGTGGTAGATATTTTTTGCCCACCGGTTCCATAATTGACGATCTAAAAGATGGGATTCGTGTGGATTTCCTGGGACGTGAAAGATATAACAGAATGGATGGTTCTTTTAGTCGCAGAGGACATATGAGCAGGTTTCGTTCCGAAAATTGACACGGCAACGATAAATAGTCTTCTAAGTAGCTGCTCGTGCAGCAGCAAGTTGTTCGTGACAAAGTTTTTCTTCTAAAAAAAATCACCTGTTGTCGCGTCGGTCGTCGAGTGCCTCGAGCGGGCGCTAGTAAAACCACTTCTCCTTGTCGCGTGCAGAAGTTGATTTCTTTCCGCTCTAAGGACTCGTTGACCACCATAACTTTTTTCTACGGTTCTCGGGAGGAACTCTAACTAGACGGACGGTGGTCCTACAGGTGTGCGGTTGACATCCCGAGGAATGTATGTGGTGGCTAACGGCACTTGTCCAACGGTTGTCGTTCATACGCATTACGTGTCCGCCACTCCCCCCCTCATCATCGACAACTCGACTTCGAGAATGGCGTGTTTCATTTTTGATCGTTGACATAAGTCAGAGTTTTCGATCCCCTCCCTCACTTGCGTAACACGGGATATTCCCAGCATCGTCCATTCGACGGCATGTTGTATAGTTCTGAGTGATCCTTCATCCCGCTTACCTAGCGACCAAGTTTCTTATGCATATGTAAATGCAGAAAGAATCGTTGAGTCGGAAAGGTGGGCATGGAGTCAGGTGTTATTTGTTCTGCACACTACACCCTCGGTGCTCTTGAAAGCTCCACAATCCGCTCACTTCCTGCTGCTCAATTCTGCAGCACAAGTCCCTCATTACTTTCCGATCTATACAGACTT